TATTAATAGTATTAGTTGTTTTAAAACAGACAAATACAAGTAAACGAATCACCAGAAAAAAGAAAGCAAAAAAGAAAAAAAAATCGGTGGACAACAAGGCAGGGCACCCAGGCTCTGTCTGAGCACATAGACTGTGATGGAGTTCCTGTGGGCCCAGGAGGTAGGTGGGAGTGGGGGATGGCCGCACACCTCTTTTCACCAAGTGGGTGTGGGGTATAAGAGGAATGTCATACCTTGTCAGTCTTGCAGGTCCCAAGTGTCCTTGGGGTTGCGGGAAAGCGGAACGTGTTCTTAATCCCTAGCAATCTGCGAGAGCGCTGTCTCTTTAAATATCCAAAATAGTCAAGCCACTTTTTAAACCATCAAAATGGCGGTGCCCTCCGGACCGCAAAAGTCCACAGCTCAGCCCACCTTTCTCTTCACCTTCTTTGTTTGTTCCCCAATGACTGTGCACAATCCTCCATGCAGTCCCTGGCTAGCAGAGTGATTTTTAGGTTAATTCTTAGGTCCTACCACCACTTGGGAATCTCCAAGCTGTCTGTGCTGTCAGGATTGCTCAGGATCGCTGCCAGACCGCAGCTCCATCTGTCTCCTTTTTTGGTATTTTCACGCAAATTCTTCTGCTAGTTGGGGTTTAGTCCACTTCTATATCCTTCCCTTCAAGGCTCAGTGGTCCAGGATTATCTTCTGTGTCTGTGTTAATTGGTTTCCCTTTTCTTTGTTGAAGAGGGTCTGTGCAGTGTTTCTCCCTAGTCCGCTATCTTGCCGGCCACCTTGAGGCACTACAGAAATGATTTTTCTTAAGAGTTTTGAAGACATTGTTTCTTTTGAGAAGTCTGATGCTATTCTGATTTTTGAGCCTCTATATGTGGTGTATGTTTTTTACTCTCTGGATAGAGTTAAAAACCTTTTTATTTTCATCCCTAACATTCTGAATATGAATTTAGCTCTCTTGCACCATGTTTTTCACTCCTCTTCAATTTATATGCAATCCAACACACTGGCACTTTTCTTCATGTTCTCTCATTAAAGTTGTATAAAATTACCATTTGGGATTAAATTCACATTTAAGATTTATGGTCATTAAATTATCACTCATAAGTGAACCATGCAGATTACTTTGATTATACTCACTGCCGTTGAGTCTGTTCTACTCATAGTGACCCCTCCTTGGGTTTCCGGGGCAGTATCTCTAGATTGCCCAGTCTTCTTTCCAAGGAGTGGCTGGTGGGTTTGAACTGCCAGTCTTCTGGTTAGCAGTCAGATGCCTTAGGCACTATGTCACCAGAGCTCCCTACTTTGATTATAGTGCTACTTTTTGTGATACTGGAGTTATGAGCAACTAAGGAGAAGCTAAAGTATGAGATTTAGTAACAGAAGAAAAAGAGCAGATTAAACAACTGGGAAAAATAAATGAACCCACCTAGCCGGCGGAGACGTAGAGATGGAGAAGTAGAGGGCTTATCAGAAATACAGAAGAGGTGGGTGAAGTGAAGGAAGAAAGAAAATCACCCACAAAGGCATTAGGAACTCAGAATACCCACACTGGGAGTTTTGGGAGTTGAGTGAGTAGATACTCTTACTCAGAAACAGATCAAGACCCTCCTTGGATTGGGCTGCTATGGAGTTGAGGAAGGAGTGGGGAAAAGGGAGAAACTCCTTCTGAGTAGGTGGAGCCCTGAAGTGAGTTCACAGCGCCGGGCTGGGGTTCAACTCTTTCACAACCGTTTTTTAGTACAGAGTGGACCAGTTTTTTTTTTTTTTTTCAGCTTCTCGATCCGAGTAGAAAGTAGTGGCCCTCTACCCATTGGGGTGTCTGTCAATTTTGAACCACAGGTCTTTGATTGACAATAGGACATCATCATTAGTGGATGGCTCAGAAGACACAAACTACATTGCCTGTCCCAACAGAGCTGTCTGAGGTATCTTGCCCAAATGCAGAAAACAAGGACTCACTACTGGCACCCTTTTTTTTTTTTTTCCTTCTTTTCTCCTGCCTCATCCGATAGAAGGAACATATTAAACTGCCACCAGGCAACAGGTGTTATTACACTGAACACCTCACCCAGTAGGTAACACCAGTAACTCCTGTGCCACGGACATGATGCAGATGGTGAACAACACTTGCTCATACCATCTTTAGATCCCCTTCATGATGAACAGAGACCTGCACCCACATCCCCACTAGTGATTCTGCCAACATAGAGCTGGAGAGTAATCTAGTACAACTAGTTGGCCTTATTATAGGGTGATAGGGCAGAGGCCTAGTGGTTCTATTAATGGATACCTGAATATCAATACTCTTATTTTCTTGGACTGATCAGTTTCTCCAAAGGGGAATACCCTTATATTTTGCCTAGAGTATGTAATCCTACTTGCTAGTGTTTTGGGAGCTGAGTGCAGGAAGGAGGCTGGAGAACTCATTTTCAGGGTGTACGCTTTCATTATAATCCCCTTTTTTTCAGTATGGCCTGGAATCTATGTCTTCTGTCCTGTCTGTTTCAACTTCTCCTGAGAATGAACCTTGTAGTTTCTACTGGCATTGGGTGGAAGTTGCCTAGCTTGTAGAATGGAGAGGATTTACAGGGGCGAGTCTGAGTAGGGGAGTGGTTGTTAACTGCTACTGTCAGACACTTTTAAGCAATCCTGTTTTCAACCTCACTTTACTCTTTGCCCTTAATGCTGCCCACTGTCTTGAATCTTTCAGAGATTCTGTTGACTGACTTCTTGGTTTCTCCCTAACCCTCCTCCTATCTCCTGCCATTTTCCATCCCCTAGCCTTTCAAACAAAAACTGAACTCACTGCTGTTGAGTCAATTTTGACTCATAGTGACCCCTCGTTGGGTTTCCCAGGCAGTATCACTATGGAAGTACATCTCCCCATCTTCCTTCTGAGGAGCGGCTGGTGGGTTTAAGTCAGTCACCGTTTTTCCATGTGTTGTCTAACTTATGAAACATTAGCTTGTTTGCTGCCCTCTTTTATTTTCTTTGTCCTTGTGGATTTTTTTACCTTTTTTTTTTTTTTTTAAATTATTGTCTTTTAGTGGGTGCCTAGAAAGACTAGTGATAAACATACATGTACAATTTACTTGAATTAATTAAATGAAAGCCCTTTAATATATTTTTATTTCTTCATTTCTCTAGGAATTGTAGTGTCCTTTTAAAAACAACTTACTGATTATTTACTTTTATATGATTATTGACTTTGCAGTTGAATTCACAATTCAAGTTGTACAGTTTTCCAGAGAAGATTATGAAGAGGTTAAAATAAAACAAAGAAAGGATATTAATGTTTCTTGATTTCTAACTTATTTTAATCTAAAGTTTAATATTCAGAACACTTAGTTTTCATTGGGATGGCTACCCTATCCTTTTTTCATGTTTTAGAAGGAAACCATTGTTGACTGTGAGATGCCCTCTTTTCATGTTTTAGAAGGAAACCATTGTTAACTGTGAGATACCCTCAACTACTCTCAGTGGCTTTACTGAGATGAAAATTAGTGGAAATATGCTTTAGTTTCTCCTCCTACTTGTGGATGTTTGGCGCTGTTGAGTCAGTTCCAACTCAGAGTGACCCTGTGTACAACAGAAAAAACACTGCCCAGTCCTATGCCATCCTCACATTCATTGGTATATTTGAGCCCATTGTTGCAGCCACTGTGTCAGACCATCTCATTGAGGGTTTTCCTCTGTTTTGGTAATCCTCTACCATACCAAGCATGATGTGTCTGCCAGGGATGTCCTTCCTGATAAGATGTCCAAAGTATGTGAGACCAAGTCCCACCATCCTTGCTTCTAAGGAGCATTCTGGCTGAACTTCTTTCAAGACAGATTTACCCATTCCTCTTGAAGTCCTTGATGCGGTCAGCATTCTTTACCAACACCGTAATTCAAATACATCAGCTCTTTTTAGGTCTTCCTTATTCATTGTCCAGCTTTCACATGATTATGAGACAGTTGAAAATATGATGGCTTAGGTCAAACACACCTTAGTACTTAATGTTATATCTTTGCTTTTAAACACTTTAAAGAGGTCTTTGGCAACAGATTTTCCTGATGTAATATGTCATTTGATTTCTTGTCTGCTGCTTCCATGAACGTTGATTGTGGATCTAAGTAAAATGAAATCCTTGATAACTCCAGTCATTTAGGCATTTATCATGATGTTGCTTATTGGTCCAGTGGTGAGGATTTTTGTTTTCTTGATGTTGAGATGTAGTCCATACTGAAGGCTGTAGCCTTTGATCTTCATCAGTAAGTGCTTCAATTCCTCTTCACTTTCAGCAAGCAAGATTATGTCATCTGCATATCACAGGTTGTTAATGAGCCTCCCTCCAATCCTGATGTCACAGTCTCCTTCATACAGTCCAGCTTCTTGGATTGTTTGTTCAGCATATACACGTTCTACCAGAGCACAGTTAAGTGTTGGTGGTACTTGTGACTAAACAGGAGCCCTGTTGCTTAGTGGTAAAGTTCCCAACTGCTAACCGAAAGTTTGGAAGTTCAAACCCAGTAACCGCTCCACAGAAGATGTAGCAGTCTGCTTCCATAAAGACTGACAGCCTTGGAAACCCCCTGGGACAAGTCTGCTCTGTCTTACTGGGTTGCTATAAGTCAGAATCAACTTGACGGCAATGTTTTTTTGTGTGGTGTTTCTAAACAGGATGTACTTTCCTGTTGGATTCATAGCTAGATGGGAGTCCCATTATTATAATTTTAGCTGTCATCTAGAATGATTTTAAAGTAATTTTTCAGAAAATGGTTATCAGCTTTTGTAATATCTACTGTTTTATGTTTTATGGTATTTTGCATTGTTGCTTTTAAGCCATTTCCATGTTTAAGCTCTTATAATTTATTGGATTGCTGTGATATTTAATACTGTGCTTTCCGTATTTGAGTCTCAAGACTTGTGTAAGTAATAATAATTGAAGTGGGTTGGGCGTACCTGATGTCTAAATAACTTAATCCATATTGTTTTCTTTATAGTAAAGCCATTTGCAAATGAAGAAGAATATAGGAAAACTGAAGAGATAGTTAAAAAATTTCAAAATGGGATTGGAGAAAAATTGCATCAGAAATTACTGGAAAGGGCAAAAGGAAAAAGAAATTGGGTACTTACATTTTTGTATTTATAATTGAAAAATCGATAGTGATTAAACAATGAAATGTAAACATGTACATAGCATGTATTTTAAAACTATCATTGTAAAAATCTTTATAGTGATTGTTTCTTATCATCCAAAAGAATGAATGAATCACTTGGAGTTCTGAGTGTTGTAGGTGACCCCCTATCTTATCATATGGGGAACTTATTAAATGCAGATTCTCTGGGACAAGTGATTCTGTCCCAGTATGTTTGAATCAGGGCCCAGAAATCCACCACCCACCCCACTCTTTTCTTTTGTACTGTGATAGACAGTTTTTATTCATCTTCTTTTAGTATCTGAACTTCCTTCCTATGAAACTCCTTATGAGGCCAGATTTTCTTCTTATAGTAGAAATTATCAGTCTCTCATGTAGCCAACACCATAATTCAGTGCATCCACATGATTCTGTTGTAGGTGAGCTATAGACCATGGTTGAGAAAAACATTGTGTCTACATGATTATAAGCTGAAAAAACCCCAAACACTTAAGTAGACATGTCATATAGGTGATGTAAAAATATTTATATAGTACTAGGTTGGGGGAAGGGCCATTTAAAAATTGGAGTAGAGAATGGTTATGAGTATTCTGTGTTTCAGTTAGTTTGAGGGAGAAGCTGATACAGTAGTAGAGTCAACTTCCCACAAAGAATCTTCTTTGACTTGTTCAGCTCAATTACTCCTCTGTTTCTCTTATATGAAGCAGAGGATGAGTTTTCATAATGAAAAAAAAACATTGCTTTAGTCTAGAAATGATTGTAACTGTCTTCCGTCTGTTAGTTTTAGAAATAAAAATCAAGCTGATCTTTTCATGAGCCATTCATATTTATGATGGTGGCGTTTTATACTTTCCTTTTTTTGCAATTCTCAACTTTGATTTTAATTTAAGAAGGGTGAAGGTAAAAAGTTTTTCTGCCTGTTCCTTGTCACATACCTTTTTCTGAATGACTAATTTTAGTTTATAACATCAATTTCTTCAAAAATAACTGTAAATAATTAGACAAGATCTGTTTATTTATGCATGGAATTCATCAATTGAGTATTGTGGAAGAGGAACTGCCAACTTGTTACCGATTATTAAGCACAGCGAAATTAGTGTTTGAAAAATCTAAATTAATTTTAATCCTACAGGAAATTATTTATACTTCTGGTTCAGTATTTTGATTTTAATTTTGAAAGGGAAAATTATAAATGACTTAACTATTAACTATCATTAGATGAAGATTTTTTTAATATCTACTTACTCTAGATACAGTACTAAGAAAACACCCAAGTACTTTGTTGGGAATTTGTGACATCAAGTGCCTTTTCAGAGCTTTCTTGTTTCATGTTTTTGATAGTGTAGTTAAACTGAATAGTATTTAAGATCCTACCATTTTAAAAGGAAGGAGTTATCATAATAGCATTTTACAAAATATGATTTAAGAAGACAGAAAGGTGCTTTTAAGTGTTGAAGAGTAATTAAAGAGCAAATACAGCATTTTCTTTCTTCCTTTCTCAGTTTTTTTGGTCAGTAGTTACACATTCAAGTATTTTGAAGAACATTAGACTGATGTTCTTAATTTCTTTTAGCTGGAAGAGTGGTGGCTGAATGTTGCTTACCTGGATGTTCGCATACCATCACAACTGAATGTCAACTTTGCGGGTTCTGCGGCCCATAATGAGCACTACTGGCCTCCAAAGGAAGGCACTCAATTAGAAAGAGGAAGTATAACTCTTTGGCATAACTTGAACTACTGGCAGCTATTAAGAAAGTAAGGCATTTATGCTAATTTAGTAATAGATTTACCCAAAGTCTCAGGTGGCACGATGTTAAGAAGCTTAATTTACTTATTTGGGGATTAATACTGTAGTTGTGAGTTATAAGTTTTATGATTTCTTGATCAAAATTTTTTTTTGTTCTAATAGAGAAAAACTGCCTGTTCATAAAGTTGGAAATACTCCTCTAGATATGCATCAGTTCCGAATGCTGTTTTCTACCTGCAAGATTCCAGGAATTACTAGAGATTCAATTGTGAATTATTTTCGTACTGGTAAGTTTAAAACATAGTTATTTATTTTATTTTATTTTTTTAGCAAAAGCATTGGAATTTGTATCATTTTATTATAGTTTCTACATCGACAGTGTGGAATGTATTATTTTGAGGAGAATTTCTTACTGGGCTTTCACTAATCACAGGTTTTCTATGAACCATATCTTTGAGCCATTCTGATTAGTTTGGATGTAATATATGAAAATGGATTTTCTAAACTGTATTTTGCATAGTTGAACACATCCGATAGTTATATTACATCTTTGAGAGTTTAAATTCAGTTGAAGAGTAAAATTATGCACCAGAGTATTCATGAAATCCTAAAGCATGAGATCTGTATGCTTTTCTTCCTATACTTGCTCCTTGTGATCTGCATTCTCATTTTGAGTGTTTGCTTGTATATGTTCATTATACCTCATTTCTTTTTGTTAATATGCTTTTTTTTTACTTTCTTACGCAACGTGAGAGCTTTGTGTCAGTCTTCTTGGAGGTACATAAATTCAGATTCAGTCATTAAACTTTTTGTTCTTACTGTCAGTTTAATGGCAGTTTACTTTCAGTTTCTGCTTTGTATTCTATCATATCTTGAAATGGCAAATGTAGCTGGCTGCCAGTTTCCATTTAGTTCAGAAATTTTTACTTTCTTAAAATTTAATGATGTATTTTATAATTGCAGAATATAATTATGAATATTTTTGTTATATGAAATTTTACGTAATGGCAACTTTTATACTCACTTATGCTCATAGAGTAGGGATATGAGTATACTTTTCATGTAGACCTCAACCCCTCTTTGTATACATTTTTAGATGCTTGAGATATTTAATGTCCTCAAGTCCACACACATGACCTTGATGTTGCAAGTGAAGGAATTAAGGAAAGGATTAGGGAACCTTTGTTATTCATAGCCCGAAATTGTATGCCCACATATGAGGGGAAAATGTAAACAGGAGAAAATTGATGTGAGAACAGCAGTAGCAATGAGAGATAGTATGCATGTTAGTTAAGAACTAGTATCAATTGACCTGGTTTTGAATTCAGTCTTCACCATAGTTATCTAGTACTGCTGTAACAGAAATGCCACAGGTAGGTGGCTTTAACAAACAGAAATTAATTTCCTCACAGTTTAGAAGTCTAGAAGTTTGAATTCGGGGTGCTGGCTTTAGGGGAAGCCTTCCTCTCTTTCACCTCTGGGGAAAGGTCTTTATTTCTTTTCTGCTTCTGTTCCTTTGTGATCTTAATGTTGACATCTAGCCTCTCACATCTCTGTTTGCTTCTCTGTGCCTAATGTTTTATATCTTGAAGATAATTGGCTTAAGGCATACCCTACGTGGGTATGGTCTCATTAACATAATAAAGAAAACGCTACTCCCAAATAGGATTACATCTACAAAGTATAGGCATTAGGATTTACAACAGATATTTTTGGGGGACATAGTTCAGTCCTTAACAATCTTTATCAGTAGCTATGTTCTTAGACAAGCTAACTCCTGAAGTTACAGTGTGTAAAGTAGATTCATTAATAAAGTACTTTATGATATGGTGGTTTAAGCTGTCAGGGTTCTTATGTTTTTGGACTTGTGGCCGTGTGAAGAGAAGTAAACAAGGATAAAAATCAAAGTAATAAATAAACATGATAAAATATCAAATAGTTAGTAACAAGTTTTTATATAGAAAATTCAGGTAAGATGGAAATAACCAGTTAGCTGTTTTAGATGGGATAGTTAGAGAAGGCCTCTTTGAGGATCTGAATGATAAGATGGGCCAGCACAACTTTTTTGTTTTTGATTTTTGTGTTGAAAGGGAGATTTCCTTCAGTCAGGGATAAACTTTGCATGTTTTAAGGGCAGTATGGATGGAGCAGAGCAGGCAAAAGGGAGAGGGACAGATTAGAAAGGTAACTAGAGGCTAGATTATACAGAAATTTGAAAGCCAAGATAAGGTTTTGGCTTTTATTTAAAATTTTAGAAACTATTAGTGGGTTTTGAGTAAGGGAATAATGTGATCAGATTTATCAATCTACCTGCTGTTTAAAGAATGGATCCTTTGGACAGAGAAAAAGGTAGAAGCAAGATCAGTTAGAGATCAGTTAGAAGTCCAGGTAAGTGATGATAATGGCTTGTACTAGCACAGTAGCATGGAGGTAGTAAAAAATGATCAGATTCTGAGTATATTTTAGTTTAGGATAGTAGAGTTACTTATAGATTGGATGTGATTTATAAGATAAAAGGAGGAAGGATTTAAAGATACAATATGAGCAGTTAACAGGATGGATAGGTGTTATTTTCTGGGATGGTAAAATTAGGAGGAGATGATTTAGGAGGAAAATCAAGTGATCTCTTAGGCTATGTTGAGTTTATGCTGCCTTTTAGACATTTAAGTGGAAATTTAAGGAGGAAGTTGGATACAAAGGTGCTAAAGGGGCAAGGAGGCTACATCTTCTGACCTCCTCTAACTCCACAAGAGGAGAACAGACTCACTATCAGCAGTCCAGGGCCTATTTCTGCAAGGCCAGACATGCTGCCTCCCTCTAGCACTTTCACCAACCCTGACACCAATTGTTCCTCCCCCGGCACCCGCCACCTACCTCTCTGCTGGGTTTGATAATTCGCTGTAGTTGCCACACAGAACTCACAGCTTATGGGGTTTATTAGGGAAGCAACAGGCTACAATTCAAGTTCAGGAACGTGCTCAGTCTCTTGCAGCTGGCTGTTTCACTCAGCAGTGGGCAGTCTCTCAGTAGCACATTGCTTTCAGCAGTATATGTCTCTTGCGTCTGTCACTTTCTCAGCAGTGTGTGCTCTCAGCAGTGCATGTCTCTCAGCAGTACATGTCTCTCTCTCAGCAGCATGTGTCTCTCATGTCTCTTTCAGCAAGTGCATCTCTCTTAGCAGTGTGTTTCTCTCAGCCAGCAGTCAGAGAGACTCCCTTCTGCCTCTAGGAGAGTTCCTTTTGAGCCTGGCAGAGGGACCAAAACCAACCAATCCCAACAACAGAGTTTTACAACACCTGAGAGAAAGTGAACTTCCCAGAAAATTATTTCATGCTGCTCCCAACAGAAATATCCCAGGTGGATAACTTTAACAATCAGGAGCTACTTAGTTGCTCATAGCAAATTCCACCATGGAGTTGACAAAGACTATGGCCAGAAAACCCATACTATGCAATTTACTACACTGCAAAAGGTTAGAGTTCTGGGGGAGAATTCGGGACTGTAGGTGTAGGTTTAGGGTCATCAGCAAAAGAATAGTTTTTAGAGGTATAAGAGGAGCACAGATCACTTTTGGAACATTATGTAGGTGGAGATGAACAGGGAGCCTGTAGTGAGCCCTTAGCACAATCCATTACAGTATTTGGTGGTCAGAGTAGGAGGATCCCACAAAGAGACCAAGGAAGGTAGAAAGAAAACCAGACAGTGGTCTCTCAGAAGTCAAGAGAATGTTATATTTTATCTAATCCTCTTGAGAGGTCAAAAGAGATAAACATTTAAAAATGACCATTGGATTTGTCAGTGGGTTGTAGACAGAGGATGACCTTAACAAGAATATCTTCATGAAAGTGGGGGAAAGAACCCCAAATGGAGAAGATGAAAGCAAACTTATGAAGTAGCAACAGCACTTGGAAATAGTGCTTGCAGGAAAAATTTTGATATGCAGTAGAGGATTAAAAATTTTTTTTTCTTTTAAAGCTAGCAATATTCCATCATGAGAATGATTTATAAAAGAAGGAAAAATAATATGGCAGGGGAAAGGATAAGTAGCAAAGTCCTTATGAAGAGAACTGAGAAGGTCAAGAGCAAAAATCCTGGAGGGATTAGGCTTTGGCAGGAGCAAGGAAGAAAGGGAGTAGGAGGGAAGGCAGAGAGTATGCATCCAGATGCAGACAGATTGCTGAGGTTCTATAGTAGGAAGATGAGGAGGTCCTCGTGTATTGCTTCTGAAATGAGAACTGAGGGCACCAGCCAGGGTGAAAATGTGAGGAGAAAGGTGTTTTTGAAACAGTCTTGGAAAGTAGGAATAGAAGCATGTTGTGGAAATGTCGGGTTGCTGCCCTGTGTTGAGTGTCCATTAGAGATGTATGTATATGAATTTAAAATTAGACTAAATGATATTGTGTGTTCCTTTTGGCAGCATTCAGCAGGTGCAGAGGAAGAGGGAATTAAGATTTTTGCAAGAGAGAAATTATAGTGTTGGGCCATAGGATCCATCCTGGATAAGGGAAAATTATATATGTTGAGAGGAAGGGTAAGGTACAAGCTACTGAGGCAAAGAGGCTAGTCTCAATAAAGAGTTTATAGTTAGATCTTTTTACCTAATGCCCTATGATCAGTAAGACTTATTTATGTATTCCTTTCATCCCTGTTTATTTCATTTTGCCCAAGAAATTCAGACTTCCTATCATACTACCTTCTGGAATCATGGATTTGTGCATACAGTATGCTAGAGTCAGAGATTCTTAGTGAAGACCATTTGGAACAGAGGACAGACCAGACACTTCTAATGGGGTGGTCAATAGGTGTTTATTAATCACAGAATAAATAGGACATGGATGAATAGGACAGCACACAGCAGCAGCAGCCAAAAATTCCTGAGGTTAGGCTCCTGTTCCAGGGTGTTGACGTTAGATTGCATCCAAGCATGCTCCACTTTGCATCTTGGAAAAACACATGAGCCTCTCTTTTCTGGCGTTAATATACTAGCTGGCCACAATGCCTGTATGTCACATAGCACATACAGAGAGAGCACATAGGGGAAATAATAGGTAATAAAAGTGGAAGGCCCTTTGCAGGCAATGTACATGATTTATTGCTCCTGTTGAGGGTAAGTGACCATCTCCTGATGTCTGTCCTAGATTCACTGGTGTCAAGAACAGTTCTTTCTGCTTTACCCTATTTACACAGCTTAACCAAATTCTCAGTTTCTTCAGAGAGCAGTCATCACCTCTAAGGCACATTCTTTGTGTCCATTAGTAGCTGTTGTGTCCATTCATAGCTATGAAGATGGTGAAAGTGATTATAGTCACCTGGTAACACCAATCTTAACTTCATCCAAGTTGTCCACTAACTGATCTTGCTGTGTCGTCTTATCCCTTCCAGTTCCCTATTCTCCATACAGCACCTAGAATGACCATTTTAAGTATTAATTAGATTATGTCATCACTGTTTTGCTCAAAATCCTCCATTGGCTTTTCCCATCATACTTAACATTGAAAACCATTTTTGAGGCCTTATGATCTGGCCCCAACCTCATCTTCCACTCTACCCTTTTCTCTCTCTGTGCAGCTATAGTGACCTTGTTTTCTTTTTAGCAATCCAGCTCTTTTTCTGCTTTAATTCTTTCTCATTTGCTGTTTCCTCTGTCAGGGATTCTCTGCTTGCAGATACTTCCATTGCTCACTCTCACACTTCATTCAGCTGTCACTCAGGTAGTCCCTCTCAGGCACATCCTGAGGTAGCATCCTCTTGTCACCTCCCCCAGTCCTTTATTGATTAATTTGATATTAGGCTACTTTTTTTTTTGCTTCCAGCCCTAAATTTATGATCAGAAATGGTCAATATTTGATAAAAATAAAAGGTGGTGGTAAATGGAAAAGGACCTGGAGATTTTTGGAGGAAGAGAAAGAAGAAATAGTTTGAAAATAACCATGTGGCATAAGGAAAATACACTTCTTAGGTCTTGTGGAAATAATATTTAAGAGAAAAAAAAAGTAGTGTTTCAGGTGATGGTGCTACCTCATAGTGGTGGTAGTGGTATTGTTAATTGTTGTTGAACCATTTCCAACCAATGGTGACTTCGTGTGTACAGCTTAGAACTGCTCCATAGGGTCGAGGCTTTGACCTTTTAGAAGCAAATTTCCAGGCCTATCTTCTGAGGTACCTCTGGGTGAGTTTGAACTACCAACCTTTCAGCTAGGAGTGGAGCACTTTATTATTTGTACCACCTAGGAACTTTTACCTTATAGTAGTCAGTAGACTTCATGAATAATGTTGTAAAGCACTTAGTACGGTTCTGTGTACATAATACAAATCAGTAAGTTTTTTTCTCAGTGTCAGTGTTAGGCTTTCTCTATCTTTGTTCTTTCTTGCAGGGAAGGACAGGGATTATATAGAAAGACTCTTGGCAATGGGGCTCATACCTGAAAAAGGAGGCTATATCAGAAGGATCTGGGGTTTACAGCAAGCAAACAGTTCTCAGGGAGGTACAGTATGCCAAAGGAATCATAGATTCAGCTGTCAGTGGCTTACCAGCTATTATCGGAGCCTTAAGTAAAACTACAGACTGGGCAAAATCCTTTCCCGTTGCCTCTAAAGCATACAGTGTCGTTATTCTGGTTTCTCTTTATTCTATTGAAAACTGTTTGATTAAGCTGTCATTCCTAGCTATTACTGCAGCTAAATTATCTGATGAGCAATTAATATTAAAATAAGCCTAAAAAGAAACTTGTTAATTCAAATGACTCTCCTATAGGATCCCTCTGCTACCCTTCTCCCCTTCCCATTCCTGTTACTAAGTAAAACTAAAAAGCCTAATAGTAGTTTGGGATTTACATGATTCTCAGGGTATATAAATGTTTGAAATTCTCATGGACTTCTGGATGCTTCACATAGACAAGTTTCCATAGTGTGTATTTGTATTATAATAAGGGAAACTCTGTTAAGTTATTAATGTGTTTTTTGTTCATGTGATATATTTTTAATAAAACATTAGAGGAATGATGGCTTTTATTTCTATTAGATATAAATATGCAGCTTTACTTCTATTTAACTTTTGGAGATTTGAGTCTTTTGTTTTCTGTTCCTTATTCCAGAGAGTGAAGGTCGTTCCCCAAGTCACATTGCAGTGCTGTGTCGAGGCCGAATTTTTGTCTTTGATGTAATGCATGAAGGATGTTTGATGACCCCACCAGAGCTTCTCAGGTTTTCAAACTACTTTCTATGACTTGAGTCCCTTTAGGTCATAGGTTCTTGCTGAGTTAAAAAAAAACTTAATGTCCAGAATTATATTTCTATAAGGTGACAGTAAGTTGAAAAATAAGGACTTTATATATGTTGATTTTTAAAATCCATTTTTATCTTTCATTTAAACTAATTTTGAATTTAATTAGAAGTGTATGAATGCATTCTACTTGGAAAATGGAAGATATTAGAGAGATACTGCCAGCCCCATTCCCTAGCCCACAGTTAAGTACTTTTTTTTTTTTTTTAAATTGTGATTTGGGTGAAGGTTTACAAAGCAAATTTACTTTCTATAGTGGTTCACATATACTTTGTCTCATGACATTGACCACAGTTTACCACAATACAACAGCTCCCCTCCCACTTCCTCCCTGTAGTTACCTCTTCCCTGTGTCCATCCCTCCATGCACTCCTGCCCCCTGAGCTATTTCCCTGTGCATAAGCAGCCCTTCTTTCTCCCATGATTGTTCTCTTCAAGGAGTGTATCTACTTGAGGTAAATATTCAACTCATATGCCTGTCTTTTGTTTGGCTGGAAACCATAGGTGTGGGTTCAATTCCAGACCTGAAGGGCAGCTTTTTGTTCACCTTCTCTGTTTATTCCCCAGCACCAGAGCAGTCCTCTGTGCAGTCCCTGGCTAGCAGGGCTGATTTTTAGGTTAATTCTTAGGTCCTACCACCATTTGGGAATCTCCAAGGTGTCTGTTTCCTCAGGATCGCTGCCAGACCGCAGCTCTGTCTGTCTCCTTTTTTGGTATTTTCACACAAATTCTTCTGCTAGTTGGTGTTTAGTCCACTTCTGTATCCTTCCCTTCAAGGCTCAGGGGTTCAAGATTATCTTTTGTGTCTGTGTTAATTCGTTTCCCTTTTCTTTGTTGAAGAGGGTCTTTGCAGTCTTTCTGCCTAGTCCACCATCTTGCTGGAACTCACAAAGATCCAGTTAAATACTTTGGTGTGCTCTGTTTTTCCAGATCTGTTTCAATGAATTTACATGCACATATGTATATTTTTTATTTATGTGTATGTATGTATTTTTAAACTTTATTATGGACAATTTCAAAATATAGAGGGAATTATATAATGAACCCCAATGTAGTCATCTGCTGGTTCAATAGTTATCAACTCCTAGCTTCAACAATTAGTATTACTTCATCTGTAGCTCAGCAGTTAATGTTGCTTCATCTATACCTCATTTTGCCTGCTCCCCCGCTGGATTATTTTAAGGCCAATGCCTGAGATAGGCAGGCCCAGAGTTTGGCGGCTGCTTTTCCCTTGGGTATGGCTTTACATTAAGGTTGGGGCCTGAGGTAGGCAGAGCTAGAGCTTGGAGGCTGCTTTTCCCTTGGGGGTGGCTTTATATTAAGGCCTGGGCCTGGGGTAGGCAGGCCCAGGGGGTGATTTTCCCTTGGGGAGGTTCTATGTTAAGGCCAGGGCTTGAGGTAGGTGGGCCCAGGGCTTGAAGGCTGCTTTTTGCTTGGGGCAGCTGTATTTTTAGGCCAGTGAGGTAGGTGGCATGGGGCTCAGGGACTGCTTTTTGCTTGGGGACAGCTGTATCTTAAGGCTGTTGCCCAAGGTAGGTGGGTCCAGAGGGGTTAAGAACAACTAAGGGAGATGAACTTTCTGTCACATGTCATCCTGTGGTGGCTTACCTGTTGCTGTGAGGCCCAGGCTATGCCACCGGTGTTGCAAAATGCCAGCAGGGTTACCCATGGTGAAAAGGTTTTGGCAGAGCTTCCAGGCTAAGACAGACTCAGAAGAAGGAGGAAGCCATCCACTTCTCAATGAATTGGCCAGTGAAAACTTTATGAACCGCAGAGAAACACTGTCTGATATATTACTGGAAAACTTTATGAATAGCCCTGAAACATTGTCCGATACAGTGCCGGAAGATGAGCCCATCAGGTCGGAAGGCACTCAGAATTTGACTGGGGAAGGACTGACTTCTCAGAGTTGAGACGACTTTAATGATATGGATAGAGTAAAGCTTTTGGACCTCCATTGGCTGATGTGGCATGACTCAAAATGAGTAGAAACAGATGCAAACATCCATTAATAATTGGAACATAGAGTGTACGAAGTATGAATCTAGGAAAATTAGAAGTTGTCAGAAATGAAATGGAACGCATAAAGATCGATATCCTAGGCATTTGTAAGCAGAATGGCCATTTTGAATCAGACATGCATATGATCTACCGTACTGGGAATGACAAATTGAAGAGAAATGGTGTGGCATTCATTGTCACAAAGAGTGCTTCAAGATCTATCCTGAAGTGCAGTGCCGTCAGTGATAGGATAATAACCATATGCCTCCAAGGAAGACCAGTTACTACTACTACTATTCAAATTTTGTGGCACCAATCACCAAAACCAAAGATGAGGAAATTGAAGACTTCTACCAACTTCTGCAGTCTGAAATTGACCAAACATGCAGTCAACATGTGTTGATTATCACTGGTGACTGGGATGCAAAAGTTGGAAACAAAGAGTTACTGGTAGTTGGAAAATATGGCCTTGGTAATGGAAATAATGCTGGAGATTGCTGGAATTTTGCAAGACCAATGACTTATTCATTGCAAATATCTATTTGCAACACCATAAGTGATAACTATACACATGCACTTCATCAGATGGAATATACAGAAATCAAATTGATTACATCTGTGGCAAGAGGCAATTGAGAAGTTCAATACCTTCGGTCAGAATAAGGGCAGGAGCTGATTGTGGAACAGACCATCGACTTCTCATATACATGTTCAAGTTGAAGTTGAAGACAATTAAAACAATTCCATGAGAGCAAAAATAATACCTTGATAATATCCCTTCTGAATTTGGAGACCATGTAAAGAATAGATTTGATGCATTGAACACCAGTGGCTAAAAACCAGAGAAATTGTGGGATGAAATAAAGAACATTATCCATGAAGAAAGCAAGAGGTCATTAAAAAGAGGAGAAAGGAAGAAAAGACCAAAATGGATATCATAAGAGACTCTGTAACTTTCCCTTGAAAAGAGTAGCTAAAGCAAATGGAAGCAATGACAAGATAAAAGAGCTGAATAGATTTCAAAGAGCAGCTTGAGCAGACAAAGCTAGTTACTATAATGAAATGTGCAAAGACCTGCAGTTAGAAAACCAAAAGGGAAGAACACGCTTGGCATTTCTTAAGCTGAAAGAACTGAGGAAAAAATTCAAGCCTTGAGTTGGAATATTGAAAGATTCTATGGGCAAAATATTGAATGATGCAGGAAGCATCAGAAGAAGATGGAAGGAATACACAGAATCACTGTACCAAAAAGAATTGGTCGATGTTCATCCATTTCAGGAGGTGGCATATGATCAAGAACCAATGGTATTGAAGGAAGAAGTCAAAGCTGCACTGAAGGAGTTGTTGAAGAACAAGGCTCCAGGAATTGATGCAATACCCATTGAGATGTTTCAACAGACAGATGCCGTGTTGCAGGCACTCACTTGGCTATGTCAAGAGGTTTGAAAGACAGCTACCTGGCCAATTGACTGGAAGAGATCCATGTTTGTACCCATTCCAAAGAAAGGTGATCCCACAGAATGTGGAAATTATCGAACAGTATCATTAATATCTCACACAAGTAAAATCTTACTGAAGATAATTAAAAAACTGTTGCAGCAGTATATTGACAGCTTCCAGAAGTGCAAGCAGGATTCAGAAGAGGACTTGGAACAAGGGATATCATTGCTGATGTCAGATGGATCTTAGCTGAAAGCAAAGAATACCAGAAAGATGTTTACATGTGTTTTATTGACTATGTAAATGCATTCAATTGTGTGGATCATAACAATTTGTGGATAACATTGAGAAAAATGGGAATTCCAGAACACTTCATGGTACTTATGAGGAACCTGGACATAGATCAGGAGACTGTCGTTTGAATAGAACAAGGGGATACTGCATGGTTCAAAATCAAGAAGGGAGTGCATCAAGGTTGTATCCTTTACCCATACGTATTCAACTTGTATGCTGAGCAAATAATCTGAGAAGCTGGATTTATGAAGAAAAATGTGGCATCAGGATTGGAGGAAGACTCATTAACAACCTGTGATACACAGATGACACAGCTTTACTTGCTGAAAGTGAGGATGACTTGAAGCACATACTGATGAAAATTAAAGCCTACAGTCTAGTATGCATTACACCTCAGTATAAAGAAAACAAAAGTCCTCACAACTGGTCCAATAAACAGCTTTGCGGTGGATAGAGAAAAGATTGAAGTTGTCAAGGACTTCATATTACTTGGTTCCACACTCAACACCAATGGAAGCAGCAGTTGAGACATCAGACGACATACTGCATTGGGAAAATCTGCTTCAAAAGACCTCTTTCAAGTGATGAAGAACAAATATGTCTCCTTGAAGACTAAGTTGCACCTAACCCAGCCTTGGTCTTTTCAGTTGCCTCTTATGTACGTGAGAGCTGGACAATGAATAAGGAAGATCAAAGAAGAGTTGATGCTTCTGAGTAGTGGTGTTGGAGAAGAATGCTAAGAGTACCATGGTCTGCTAAAAGGACTAAAAGATCTGTCATGTAAGAAGTGGAGCGGGAATGCTCCTTGGAAGTGAGAATGGCCAGACTTTGTGTTACCTACTTTGGTCATGTTGTCAGGAGGAACCATTCCTTGGAGAAGGATATCATGCTTGGTAAAGTAGAGTCAATGAAGAAGGAGAAGGCCCTTGACAAGATGTATAGACACAGTGGCTATAATGATGGGCTCAGGTATAGTAAGGATCATGAGACTGGGCAGTGTTTTGTTCTGCTGTGCGTGGGGTTGCTATGAGTTGGAGATGACTTAGCGGCACCTAACAATAACAACAACGTTCTATTTATTATCTTTTTTATATTTATTATTGTGGTAAAGATATATATATATACATATATATATATATATATATATATATATATATATATGACAAAACATTTGTCAATTCAACAG